TATATGTTTATATATACACCCAAACACACACGCACACACATACACACACACACACACACCTCTCTCACAAACACCCAGACGTCTGTAGTATAGGAGTTAGTTGCCTTTCTGTCTCACGCTGGAGACCTGAGTTCGATTCTCGATTGGGACGAACATTTTCATGGAGTATATGTCTTTCTACTTGGATGTTGTAACCCTCTCAGCCTAGGCCGGCCCGATAGGCAGGGTCAGAAGCTCCTAAGTGGTCTAAATTGTGTGTGTCGATAGGGGGGTTAAAAAACCCATACATTATAAAAAGATTGTTTAAACAAAACCTACCATCTAAAATACAATAGATAATCAAGAAAAAGCTACTAAAAGAACAGCAAAAACAAAACAATCAAAAACGAAAAAACAAAACAAAAAACCCGCATGAATAAACAATAGAGGATTGAAACAATGTCCAACCAAAAGAAGAACGTTTCTGTGACAAATTATGATGGAAAAACTGGCCATGACCCTGCCGTGGAACAATTACATGGATCTGGACTGAACTTGACTTGTTGAAAAACCCGAATGTCACCAAAGGTGAAAAAGTCAAGATCACCTTTTTGCCAAAAGGTCGTCGGTGTGTGTGTTATCGCGTTTGATCGGGAAACGTTTGGACCGTAACTGACGAAGCTGTCAATTAATCCCCCCCCCCTTTTCCCCCAGTGTACCGACCGACCATTATCCCGAAGGAGACTTAACCCTGTCCGTCCCTTGTGTTTTACTATCGTATCAATTCGACGTGAGGAAGGCACCACTTAACCCTGTTCGTACGTCGTGTTTTACTATTGTATCCATACGACGTTGGGAACTCCGTGCCATCACTTTCGAAAGAGGAAATTTACTCGTTAATCCGATCGGTACGCTTTGCATAGCAGTCTGTCAAAATTAATTTTTTGAGAAATACTGAAAGTTTTAAAGAGATCTTCGCTCTAGATGTATTCTAAAATGTGAAGAATACAACCCCGGGGGTACAAAATGACTCCAGGGCGTACGGATAGGGTAAATTTTGAAACTGTTTCTCTGTGCTGGGACACGGGAACGAACGCCACGCTTCTCAGAACAACATTGACAATAAGTTCTTTATAACCATGTGCTTTAAAGTATGCGTAATTGCATGCGTGTGCATAATCCTCGCACAAGAGGGGAAAAGTATACTTCTTCCTCTACTATTATTACTACTGCTGCT